CCACTTAATTAAATAATTGTTTATTCAGCATCTCCTTTAACAAGAAGACTTTTAATATCAGGAACAGAACTGGGTGAATGTGATTTTTCCCAGTTTGACTGCCAGCCTGAGAAAAACAGGAGAAAAACTGGGTCTCCTGCATCCCACTAACAAATGCAATATCTTCCCTCCTTCACCTCCATTCTTAATGACACCTCAGAAAGTTTAGACAATTAAACATAAATTTGATGTGTTGAATAAAACATTTTACACAAGAAGAATCAAAACTTTTTGTTTTCTTTTTTTTCCACAACCAAATATGCTGACATTCAAAATGTATTTTCCCCCCATTTTTCTCACCTGAAATTATTATTTAAAGTTGACCAGAATAAAAGGAATGGAAGAATTTGCAAGAAATGCCACTTTTTAACAAATGTGCTGTTTGTAAATAACCACTAATACGAAATTCACTCAGTTCTAACAGGAAACATTTGGTTTGTGATAATTTCTAAAGTAGCCTTGCTCTCTTCTCAACATCTGGAATTGGAATTATTTTATTCACTTTTTAGGGGGGGCATAATCAAATAGAAAGAAAAAAAAATGCTTCTAAGGGAAAAAGCAAGTAATTGCAGAAAGATTTGATGTTTCTTGGAAGCAAAGGGGAGGTAAGAGGATTGTAATCAATTTACAGAGATATGCCTATCAAGTTTGAACTAACAACACAAGACATGCAATCTGACACTAAAAGCATAATATAAACAAGGTAGAATAGCAACTACACCTTGGCAGCAGGAGATGACATGCTTTGGAAAGACTGAATTTATGTTAAAGGTAATGAGATAGTCTGCTATTTTAACAAATTGACATTTATGACTGAATAGGGAATCTATGTGCAGTAGATTTACTTACTTTGGGGAACGAAGATAAAGATTTCTACTAGATTAGTACTAAAAAGAAAAAATGTGCCATGCTCTACAAATGCCTTCAGCTGATCACTGAACCTAGATGATACTCCAGACAGTTTTGGCAAGTGAGGAGAACATTTAGAGAAACCATCATAATCTGGGTCAGAATGGAAGAACAAAACTAGACCTGAATGTTAAGTGCTAACACCCAAAAAGATCTAATTTAGATAAATTAATAAAAGCAATTAGAAAACTCAAAAGCAACCAATACCTCAAGGATTTTGATATTAGAGAAGCTGGAGAATCTTTAAATCAATGATTAAAAGTTAAATGGAACTTGCCCTCAACAATAAAAGCAGAGGGAAGAGGTTGGAAGTAATCATGGTAGAGCTAACCCAAAAGTCAGGGCTGGGAAGCCCAAAACTAAAGCAAGAAATATCAGCTAAATTAAAAATTGCTAAGGAAAATAAAGAGCAGGATGTTCTTCAGCTGTACAAATAAGAAGGAACCAAGAGAAAAGAAATGATGCCACTATGCCAAGTGGAGTTCAGATAAAAATAATTCAGATATAGCTATAAAACTAATGGCAACTATTTACCTCAGCTATTTGATAACATGGAAGTACACTTAGGGTAGCAGAGTGATGCAGTGGGAATATAAATTACCATTTCTGGGTACAAATTAAAAACTTCTGGCAAAATAGTTAAGCTGCCCATAAACAAATTCAGGTTGCAAAAAGAAATCATCTTAAGCAGCAACAAAATAAAATCCTCTAGTATACTGTGTCTTTCCAAAGAACACAGCACTGAGACCCTGATATCCTAGTTTTGGATTAGTGAAACTACTCATCATGGGGAAGTTACACTAAGTGCATTCTCAGGACAGGCACCCACATTTAGACCAATGCACAAGAGGATGACATGAAAACAGGAGGAAAAATGATTGTATGCAGAGCAATGCACAGAATTCCCAGGCTGTCAGTAGCCCAGGACTTGCCCAGTGCTTCTGGATTTTGAAGAGCTCACCCAGGAGCCCCAGAAATTAGGGAAAAAAGCTTCACATTTCATCAAAAATTACCTGGTCAAACTCTTTGTACCATATAAATACCTTAATTTAGGTTCACCTATCACCCCAGACTCCCTGTGTATTCAGTAGAGAGAATCAGGCATTTGGGATAAGATTCATCTGACCTGTTTTGGCTGTAACACTTTTATCAGAAATGCTTGCTTCTCTTTGCTAATCTAAGACAGACTATGGCACCCACATGGGGAGCCCATGGAGACCTTCAGGTATGGAGCCCATGGAGACCTAGGCCATAACACAGGCAACTTGCACAAGCTTCAACAGGTCCCAGCAGGGCACACAATAGAGGCAGCCCTGACCACTTCAGTACAGGCAAGCAGAGGAAATCAGAAAATGCTTCATCAGAAATAAGAACACTTGTTTTATTATCCCCACTTCCTTGGCTTTTTTCCTGCTATAAAATCATCATGTGTTTGTACAGTATTCTTATTCTGGGAATGTCTTTTGGTCCACATAAACATCTGCACTTAGTTACATTAGCCAGTATCCAAATCTCAGCGAGATCCTGCCCTGATTATTTTGTTCTGAATGTTTTTGCCAGCTTCTATTCCCAGAACACCCTGGATTTATAGCTATGTCCAACCTCCAGCTTTGCTGGTTAGAATATTTTAACACACATGCTCAAACTGAATGCCTTTTGTACTAGGACGAAGCCTTTCCAGTAGGCTTAAGTAATAAACCATTAAATTGTGCTAGCATATTTCATTAGCAGCAGGAAAGTGAACTATTGTTGGATACATTTTGCTGGTCTGTATTTTTAACTATACTGTTTGACCTACATCTTTTGTCCGATTTCCTTAATGTCCAGCCATAAAATATGACCCTAGATTCAAATACCAAGAGAACCTGTCGTGGCAATTTTGCCTAACTCAGTGTAAGACAATCCAGATTTGGAGTAAATAAACCAACTAGCCTTTTTTGGGATCACTGTGTGTTTTTGTCTGCTGCCCTGTATAGCTAGATCCAAAACATTAATAAAAAATAAATAGACAGTTTCATCTGAGAAGACAAACAAAACCACACAGGATATAAATCAAAACAAGGATTTGTAAAAGAGTAAGCACTTATTGAGCCAAAAATATACTGTTCTTGTGAAGAACTCTGCTCTGACCACTGTGCTTTCTCCAATGTACGTTTGTGGAGTTCCAGGCCAGAACATTTTTGGAGCATAAAGACATGAAGCATTCAGATCCCAGCAAAATTCACTGTCATCTGCCTAATTCTTGTGGAGCTGAACTTCGCCACAGTTGTGCACCAGCTTAACTTCACCCCTGCAGCTTCTAGGGAATTATTCACTGCTGTGTAAGGCTTATTTTACGTGACTGATGATTGCCTCAAACTGTGAATATGCTAATTAATAAATACTTCAGCTGACCTCCTACTCTACCCTCCCAAGATACAATCTGAAAACAAATTTTCTGCCTTTCTTCAAGCAATAAAACTGGTTTGGGATACAATTCCTTTGTATCTGGTTTGAACCTCCCAGCCCACGCTGAAATGTATCTGCTTTGCTTTAGTGTGTGAAAACACACGTGCTAGAGAAACAAAAGCTTCAGAAAAAAAAACGGGAAAAAAAAATTTAAAATATAATTAAATCTTTTGAGGTGAAATACAAGCGATTTACCCCTGTCAACCAATGTAATCTTATGTATCATCCATTCTTATTTTCCCCTCTCAAATCCCAGCTCCTGGGTCTGAGCAAGACAGCTTTTTTGGCTCATGGTGCCCCTCTGAAGCCGGCAGAGATGAGAAATGTCCAGCTGCCGGCAGGACCAGGTTCACCTGTTTCCCCTTCCCTCCAGCCACTCACCCCTGAGAAGGGCAAACACAGCAATTTTGTTCTGGGACTGGAGAGGTTGTGTCAATGCACACATTTTGAAGACTGCTGTCATTTAAGCACTGCCCCATTCCCCTTGTTGACTGGCCCAAAGTTGCAGCCCTCCACCACAGCCCCTGTCCAAGAGGGGAGCCAGGGCCCTCCTTCTCCATTTCCAGCTCCAAAATAGCCCCCTCTCCCCAGGATTTTATAGTCAACTAAGATACCTGGTCAAGACACAGAGAACAGGTGATTTATGCATTGTATCCCCGCCAGTATCAGTGATTCCAGTGTCCAGAAATGCATAAACCTACCTCAGAAAGAATGCATAAACCTACAACAGGAAAATACCATGCTTAGAATTTTGTCTAAGTGTTTTTAAGCATACAATGTGTTTTTCTAAACCAGAAATAATCCATAAGAATGATGTCTGTGCAATTTAACAGAGTGGAGGAAACCCATCCTTGAATATCACCTGAACAACCTGATCTTCCACAGTCCTGATAAATACATTTAGGGCATATAAACTACACACACACAGACACACACACACACATACATTAAAAAGCTCGCACGCAAAACTCCTGTCAAAGATTGTAACACTCTATTCTAAATATAAATTAATTATCTGAAATTTTTCCTAATCCTTTGCCTTGAAGGGTGCCAGAGCAAAACTTACTGATCCAAAGACTCAAACCTTCCACTAGGACCATACCCCATTACTAGCCTTTATTCAAAACCCTTGACAGTATGCCTCCAATTCTTATCCTTACCTGCATACAGGCTTGAAAAAACCACTGCATTCTTTTTATAAAACAGATCTGCAGCAGAACTTACACATCTGGAAGAAGCTATTTTTTTTTCTGCAATATGCAAACACCCAGGAAATTCAGTATCAGTCATAACCTCAAGACAAGAATTTATTGCAACTAAATAACCAGTGTCGATTTGAAGTCACCATTACGTTCTTTACTACATATACATAGTGGGGGGTGGAAAAGAACAGAGTCACCATTACCATAAAGATCCATCTTGCATTTCTATAAGTACATAAATTCTACAAAATGTACTGGTACACAGTTCAAGGGCTCCTCTATGACAGCTCAGATATTGTACACTGTGCTAGAAGCAGGTTCTGTTGATGAGAAGACAAGCACCCAAGCGTTTGGTAGTGGCCCCTTCCATGCACTTAATCAAGAACATTCCCATATTATCATGGCTAAACCACGTCATGGGTTGTGCTTCCAGACCCCAGCTGTCCCTAAGACTGTCAATAAAGCTTATAGAGTAATAATATTAATAATAAGGAAAATATATATAAATAAGAGACGATATGTCTTCTTCTGCCTCAGTTGCAATGACCTGAATCTTCAGTTACTAGAGAAAAGGAAACCCATTGTTTTTGATTGCATAGAAGAACTAGTCCTAGTTATTCTGGAAAAGCAAACTCTAAGTATCTCCTTGGCAGAGGGAGAAACAGGACACCAAAGATCGCACTCTATTTTAGGGGTAAAAATGGTATAAAATTTTATTTGACAAGTTAATAAAAAAGCATTTAATTAGTCCATTAAAACACTTTATTACAAGAAAGTGTAATCCAGTTATAGCTACCCTACATGAAAGTTAATTCTGAGGTGAACAAATTGAGAATAAGCAGTTTAGAATGTATATCTACATCTATACTGTATCTATTTTATTTTTAAAAGGTATTTTGTGCAATTAAAAATTTGTTAAATGTCAGACAACTTCAAAAACTAATATAGCAAACTTCAGAACTATTATTCTCAGATGACATCATCTTTTTTCAGAGATGACTGAAGTTTCCTCACAGTTTTTAGCAGCTGAAGAGAGCTTCTGCTTTTCTGCCCAGGACAAGATTTAGACTTACTTTCCTTTAGAGTGACTGCAATCTCTGTTGCTTCCTTTTGGTCACCACACTTTAGTTTGACATGAGTTGCTCTTTGCTTCAATTTCTGAGTTTTTCTCTTTAATTTCCGCACCTAGGAAGAAAGATAACATGTTACGTACTCCAAAGACTCCACAACTGTAGAGTTTACGAGATTTATACCAAACTCCAAACTACAGATGTCCAAGGAACATTAAAAAAAAAAAAAGTTTAAACTTACTAATCTTGCACAATTGTCTTGCTTTAACAGAAAACTGACCTTGCCCATATAGAAAGAATTGCAGAAAACTAACCTCACCCCCTCCCAATAGGTTGTTGAATCCCATCACTCCCTAAGGTGAAAATGCTTGCTTGAGAGAGACAGAATATCATCTGTTAGCAATCTATATTTACAACAGTCTTTTTCCATTTCAGATTGTACTACCCTAATAAAAAAAAACAAACCAAAAAAGCAATAAACCTCTAAAATGTATACTGTTTCTTATTGGTTACTGTATCTAAGCAGCTTACTTTGAGGTCTCCCTAGCAAAAATGGAAAACAGAATAAATAGGGTTAATTGCTAAAGAATGTTTTTTTAAATGTCAAATTATAAGTCTTGACTTGCACTTGGCGTGAAAAGGTCACTTCCCAAAGATAAAATTAGGCTGGAAGCATTCCAAATGCCAATTTAGGCTTCAAGTCCATTTCTAAAAATAATTAACTTTAATTGCATTCTAGAACATAGTATTAACTGTGAAACACCGAGATGACTATGACATTTTCAGTATGACGGGTTCTAGAAGTAGAAATATACATCAGAAATATTAAGAGTGGTCTGTACAAAATACAGACCTACAGACAAAATACAGTGCAAAAGCATCAGTATAGGCAAAGGAGCTATGGGAATGGCCTGTATTGATAACCAGGGCATGACAGACAGCAATTATACAGACGTTACTATTTACATAATGATCCTAAAGGGTGTGCTCTGATAAGGCTGTACAGGAGCACAGACGACTTGCCAGAAGATCTGCACCCTGATAATAGGCAAGGATGACAACAAGGTTGCACCACACTGTACGTGCAAAACAAACGCAAACTGTAGCCATGAAGTTATGTAAAAGAAAGAAATAAAGGTGCAGTTGTCCACTTAGGTTCCTGGATGATGAACTCAGCAAGATTCTGAGGCAAGGAAAACACCATAATTGTTGGTTCCTCAAGAATATATGGGATTTATTCAAAAAACAGTTGACATTGCCAAGAGAGGCAACGAGGACTCAATCCATATTGCTAACATGCGACTCTGACAATTCTGCTTCGATATAAAGCACCTTCATGCTTGCAATTACATGGACAATAAAAAGTCTGAGTGAATAAAATCTATCACAGAATGAGCATGAATAAAATTGGTCAGATTTAAATTAAATTAACTATAACCTCCCCATTTCATAAGGCCTCACACTGAGTTTTGTTTTGATTCCTGTATAAGCAAAATTCCCAGTTGAATCTATCTATCCTGAAACATAAGATGGAAGAACAGAAAGCTATCAGACAGAACTATGGATTTAATTTTTAATCATATGTTCCAAAACAAATTGCTACGAAAGAGTTAAGCTGTTCATCTACAGAAGAGTGATTTTATATGGGTATGTATGAAAAGTTGTTATCTATGGCTCTAAACCAAATACTGACAGAATGCAGACAGGTTCAGGGTTAAACAAAACTGAAAGTTTTGTCTGGCTATGATTTTGGAGAACCTCTGGTCAACAGACTATTTAGTTAATAAGAAGCATCAATATTTCAGAAATATAAAAGACATTTAATCCAGTCTGTACAGGAATTATAGCTTCTATTTTCTCATTTCCCAGAGGGACATAAAGGAATGAAATCTCAACAGTTTTTCTTAACACAGTGAGCAGAAGTGACAGACTGAGCAACCCAGCTCTGTATTGCAGAATGGACACAGGGCAGGAAGTTTTCCCACTAGCATACATTCCTAGCTGCCAGCTGTGAGCACTTTTTCTTGATCAAATGAAGGAATTGGGAGGTACAAGAACACGAGGTAGCAGTTTAATTACAATAACTCATACTGGAACACCCTGGCTCAAAACATTCCAGTGACATTCTAGCTGATGACAACAGGAGGCAGAGTTGTGGCAGCCTTTCAACTAGAATGTGACTAGCTAGAGACTTTTCACGTTATTCTTACAGCAGCTTCATGCTTTATCAGCTTGGATATTTGTTCTCCTTTAATCTCCATTTGTTTTACAAGGCAATCCAGCTCCTGTTCCAGGCCTTCATGAACTCTGGAATCTTGAGTCTCCTGTATCTGTTTCAGAAGTTCTTGATGCTCACTGTTAAAGACAAGAATGGCACGCTAAGTATTCATGATATAGTCCCTAGGATTACTTTCAATACTTCCAGTGTATTGCAGGAGCTACTAGCTATTCTGTCTGGATTACAATTTAGCATTATTTACCCTCTCCCACAACACACATTAATCCGGGATATATTAACATGAGAAAAGGAAAAGCTTTTCCCATGCGTCTGATTTTCTCATTCCAAATTTGTAGCTGATGTCCACCTTATTTCTCCCTCTTCCCACAGACTTAACAACTACACATACAGTAGTGTATGTGAGATTTTTTAAAGCAAACAGCAGCTATGCAATGCAGCATTTTCACTTCCTGCCCGCTTTAGTGCAGATTTTGAAAGCTTAGCGTAGTACAGAAAAGTATTGTTTAAACTAGTACATGCAAGTTACAATTTTTCTGACAGATTACTCAAATTAAAATATTCTATTCTATTCAAAATTAAATTGACCGGCTTAACTAAAAAAAATTGTGTAGATCTTCTTGATACTTAGATATCTGAACTAGTTGAAACCAGAGACCCTCTCCTGGATAAGGCACTTCTTTACAAAAGTCACAGCTTCTTTTCTGACTTGGAGTAATTGCTGCTCCTTGACAGTTTAATTGAAACAATTGGTTGTTGTTATAAAAAAAAAAAACCCAAAGCCTGTCCTTGAACTGCCATGAGTAAGCAAGACATTGTTTTTTGAAGATGAGGTTGCTTGCCAGTTTAAATTTTGCCACATCAAGGGTTTCAAATCACTGTCAACATCCTAACTGGTTTAACCAACACACCCTCCTCTGTGGTATGTGTGCAAACCACAGCTCATCATGTCAACAGGTCTGCTATGACCAGCTACATAGCTTTGGCCCACAACTCTACAAGCTTGCATTAATCAGAAGATGCCTAAGAACACAAGTTGTGGTCCCCATTTACTTGCATGGCTAGAAAGATACATACACTCCCATTTAATGCATCAGCCCTGCCTATTTTCTAGCAGGAGACTGTTCCTCTTTCACAACCCCCTTACAGGACCAGCAAGTTCTCCTGCAACAAGCAAACAGTATGAAGGGCAGACTGACTGAGCACAAAGACCCATCAGCTACGCATGTATGGAGAGAACACAGAGTGAGTACAAAGGAACAGGACAGATGTTGTGACAAGACTATTCATGCCAGTGCTGTACTAACCTATTCCACCACCCAGACTGACTGCATCCTGCAGGCCTACTCAGTATTAACACCACCTTTGCAGTTTTGTCCTGAAGAACATTTTTGGCCTACTCTGTAAATCCCAGAGTATGCTTATAATTTCTAAAAAGCACATGCTTGAAAGATTTTTTGTTTGTTGCAGCTGTTACTTCAGTAGCAGCTCATGTAAATACAGGATGTGGAAGCAGAAAACCCCAGATGAAAAGTATGTTGCTTGCTCACAAGACCAGTTAAACACTAGGAGAGAAAGAATTTTTTGAATGATAAAAATCCTACCAGTCAAGCCTGCTCAGGCTATTCTGTCGAGGAGTAGTCCTACACCTAAAACAGGCTAGGCTCAACTATATATAGCACACCTGTAGCTTCTCAGGGCTACTGCTGAAGTCACTTTTATTCATAACACCAGGGATGAGTACTCACAAGCTCATTTGGCCCAGCTCATCTTGTGTGGCCAGCAGAAGGTCTGAAAGACTTCTGGTGGCAGTAGGTGACGTGGAACACGATGATACATACTTTGAAAGGGCACTGTGTCTGCAAATCCCAGACGTAGCTCCTCTTTTTCTTTGTGATGAGATACATGGATTGCGATGCTTCATAATATGCAACACACTTTGTATGTTTGCACTGACAGAATGGCTGGAGCTGACGGACTTAAAGAAGAATTATTAAGTGTTTACAGAAGTAAATAACAATTACAGTAAAGAGACTTACTCAAACTGTAGATGCCACTTTAGTGAGAACATTGGTTTCTACCCACCTTCCCAGCCACAAAAGGTAGTTCACCAGCCTTTACATGTAATTGTGAAAGGTGCATTTTCTTCATTGTAGGATTTGTCTGACATAAGAAAACATAAGACAAGAAATTCCAATGTGCTGACCCAAGAGCACAATCTTAAACTTCATTTTTTTTAGTAAGTAAAATTCAAATAAACACACAGAGAAATGCATCACCTCAGTTTCCCTCTGGTTTTAAAAAAATAATTTCCCTCCTGTACGTGTAGTGAGTAAGACTTTGTAATAGCTGAGATGAATAAATTTTATTCCATATGCATGTAGCAGATAGTTTGACAATTAGGTTGACATTAAAGAAACTGAACCTTGCTTAAGTTTTCAAAACCACAGTTGCAAAATTTTGACTGATCTGCAACATGTGTTGCAAAATGAATTCTCTCAATTTCAGCAATCCCCTCAAAACACACCATCTTAAGATGCTGAGTTAAAACTCCTCTGGAAACTAATTTTGCCAGATAAACTGAAAGGCAGCTAAGAGAATGTGGGACAGCAGTAGGACTGTAACAAAGGTTATTGTCGAGATGGTAAGGGAAGGTTTTCCAGTGAGGTGCTAACAGCCCTAGTACCACTTTAATTATTGAGGGAAGGAAAGAAAAAGAAAAGGAAAAGAAAGGGAAAAAAAGGGTTATTTAGCACTGTTTGTCACTTTGAAAATGGAGTAAAGTGCAGCAGATGAATCAAGTGCCTCTTACATCACTGTTTTTCACAAATTCCAATCTCTATGTGAGCCAGATGCTATCAGCAACAGTATGCTAATAAAATTTTTCATGTTACCTTCTTAGGTTTTTTCTTCTTCCCATTTTCATTTTCAGGTTCATGTTGAGATGTTGCTGAAGACATCAAAATTCTGTTTATATGAAATCCTGTTTGAAGCTGTGGGAATAAGCAAAAAAAGAAAACAACCATTTAATGTAATATTAGAAGTATGAAATATCATAGTTTAATTAATTCCCTCTTTCATGCATGGATAAGAACCAATTAAGGGAACTATTAACTGTCCTGCTTGGAAGGCATAAGCTACTCTTAAAAACTGAACAGATTACTTGGAAGGCAGGGTGTTGGGCAGATCTTACAGAGCTGTCTTAGAATTCCTCATTTTCATATCCAGCTGCAGCAGCTGTATTTTTCCACTATGACAATCGGCAACTGAGATAAGCCAATTCTGCCACATGCTGGGGATCTGATCATAAAATCCAAATAATATGAACATTTGGCTTTACAATCTGGGGACAAACTAAGCCTTTCTGTGTAACATTGAGGTCAAAGCTGCTGGACAATCATTAGACTGCTCTGTAGTTCAAAGTTGATATCAAGGCCCATGATAAACAGGATAATAATCATTCTCCATTAAACACAGGACAAGGACTTTGTTTTGGCATGTGTAACAGTTCCGGCTAAACAATGCTGGAGGTCCACCACTAAAGTGAGAATATTTTGGCTTTTCTGTCATCAAAAGGAAGTGAACCATGCCACACCCTGTGTTTCCCAGCCCAGATTCAACAGACCTAAATCCATTCTGCAGTGCACTAAGATGGCACCAATACTAGTATAGGACTCAGTTTACTGGACCTAAGTCCTTTCTTGAGCAAATGTTTATACTACTGCTAAAGTCAGACTACCTGCTCTGGGAAAGTCATTCTTAGCATGTTTCTCAGAAGATAAAATCTCTGTTCTAGGCTTTCTGCTCTGCAGCAGCAAGCCATTTAAGCAAGAAACCCAAAAGCCTGCAAGTTTTCAACTGTGTCATTCTGCTAGATTATGGAGGTAGTCATACACCTGGGCTACAATCTGCATGTTATTTAAAACTTGCTGGATTGATGAAAACCCATCATCCTTGGATGAGGTATAAAAACTGACAGCAGCAATGAATTAAATTAAGGTGTCAGCTTTGTTTATGGCTAGGTTCTTTCAAAGTAACTCTTCAGCTCTACATTAACCCACCCCACCCCAAGGGAATCCCCTCACAACTGCTCTCTTTCAAATGGCTGCTACTTATCCACAAAGTGAGGTTTGGAATGCTACTACTTTGCTCCTTTAACAAAAGGTTTCTTTGATTTTGCTCTCTTCCAAAAATATTCCTCTCTCAGATGTATGGTGGCCCAACAAACTGATTATGGCTTCACAGAATAATGAATTATTCAAGATCTCATTTGATGAACAATCACTGATCAAAGATTTTTCCAAGTAGAGCTCTATTTGTAGGTACTGCAAATAAAGGTTATCTGATTTAGTTGCAGATTTTCTAGAAATTAATTTTCTACCTAGATCACTTAAAGCAGCATTGAGGCAGATGAACTGTGTCATTAATACAAACCCAAGTAGAATCTTCACTGAGATATGCAACACACCTGGCAAGCTTTTCTAATATGTAGTTTATAACTAGTCTAAGAAGTATTGCTGGAGTTTTCCCTGGGTAATAATTATGTGGAGTTAAAATGTAATAAAAAAAGAAGGTATTTTGGATGAGAGAATAGCTTTCTTCAGTCCTAAAAAATAAGATAAAATAAAACCTTTTCAGTCTACCTGAGAACTTTTATCTTGTATTAGCTTGCGCTGATGGTCTTCCTTACAAATCTTTTCTTCTAAGTGTTTGATCTTGTCCTGAATTTGAAGACAAGAATGATTAGTCACAATTCAGTTAGCCATGCTGAATCAGAAGTCTGAAGTAGCTTGCAATTGTAAAGTGGGATAACAAAGGAATGTAGCAACTTTTAAAGCCCAGACTGAAAAAAGACTCATGCACATGAAACTGAAGTGGCATTCAGTCAGGTATGCTTTAACAGAAGTAACTTTTGCAAAACTTATTACTATTGACAGTATGCCATAAAATTATATCAAATGACTTTCAGGCTGTCATTCCATGGATGCTTACTTCGGCAATTCTCTGAGTAGCAGTAAGTTGAAGACACTCTTTTTCTAGTATTTCAAGCTTTTCAAGTTTTGCATGCAGTTCCAGCCAGTTCTGATCCTCCTCTTTCCGCAGCTGGGCCTGGAAAAAATAAGCAAGAAAGGAGTTGGCAGCTGAGTGAAACTGTTTCAGACAGAAAAAAAAAAATAAAATCCCACAGTACAGCAAAGGTGTTTGACTAGTTTAAATTTCATATTTTTTAAATTGAAATGTGATGAAAAATACCAGGCAGACAAAGATGACTTAAGTTTCCAGCAACCTTTTTGTTTACCAAATGTGCAAGTATTAGCATGGTTTCGCTCATTAGGAGTTCCACCCAGGGAGATTTTCATGCAATTCATTGAATGGTTGTCATCAGCCAGTCAGTCAGACAGTAAATTGCTTCTGTTTGCTACCACCCTGAGCAAAGCTGAGGAAAAATGATGGCCACAAAAAAATTCAGATCCTGCACATTTCAATACTTTTGAACTATATAGTTACTTTGTAAGTATGCTAGAAGGTTTCACCTGTTGTTCTAAAATAATTTTCTTTTCCAGTTCCACACTGGAAACCATTTTCTTCATGTAATCCAGCTGTTTCTCCAGCAGGGAGCAGCGGGACTGTGTTGCATTTAACTGCTCACTTGCATCTACAGAGAGAAACAAGACATTTGGTACAGCAAAGGGAGCTACACATTTAGCCAGACTGTAATTTCATTGAGGACGTCTCTGTCTTCAAAACACGAAAGAAAAGTGTTGTTAGTACGAACCAATCATATGGTTAAAATGTATTTTATATATAAGACATGAGAATCAAAATGTTTTTTCAGAGCTAGTCTCTAATTTGAATTTCAAAGATGTGAGCACTGCAGTTACTTCGATCTGTATCAGCAGATATCTAACCAGAATCTGGTTTCTTCCCTTCACCTATCTTTTCTCAAGTTAGCAGTGTTATGTAAGCAGCTGCTTGCTTATTGTAAGAGTTAAACATACCACCTGAAATATGCTTAGTCTTTAAAATAGCTTCATGGGTTATGCAATACTTCATTAATATATGTAAAAAAATATCTCAACTCGATCCACAATTATCAAGCTCCTATACCTCCCCAGTTTTGAAGCAAAGAATGAAGGGGGGCTGTGTTAATTAGTTTTTCAAAACAAACACTCCTTGGATTATATAGTCTTAGAGCTGCTGTGGCTACACCTTATCACTTAAAAGAAATACCTTTCCTCTGTTGCATCAGTTCTTGATGTGCTGTGTCCTTCTCACTGGATTCATGTTCTAAGGCCTTCTTATACTGAGCAGCTGCTCTGGAGAGGCTGCACAGATCAGCTTCAGCCTGTGACTTCTCCAGCTCTAGACGGTGGATCTTTTCTTGAAGAGTTTTCAGGGCTGCTACTACAGCTAGCAAACAATGCAGCAGTTACATCTTAAGTAACAGTTCCCAATTGTGATGATGATGATGATGATGATTATTAGAAAACACTTCACACTGCAATATAATACCTAAATTTTCTTCCTAGGATCACTCCTAAAATTAATTATATTAATTATTAAATATACTAACATATGCAGAACATATCTGGGAGAAAATGGACATGTTTCCTGCATAACTGAGGTATAAAACATTGGTCCTATGAACAAAACTAGTTTCACTCCAAATGGCAGCAAGCACAAAGAAATCATGACAAACAGAGTATAACAAATCCTGGGACTTCTGTTTACATAGAAGCAGGGAACACAGGTATCCAAATGAGGTCACAAGTTTTGGTGTAATACAACTGGTCTGCACAGATTAGAAAAAGAAAACATGCTCAGAACAGGGGGAGAAATCAGATACAAAGAGAAAATTTAGCAATACTTTATTGTTTCAAAAGTTAATGATTCAATACCTAGTTTCTTGTATTTGATGATTCTTTAAACCACAGAAACAAGTTTGCAAGATTTTGCTTTTAGCTTTTTGACAAATCAGTATTTGTCAAAATTATGCCGAAAATAAAAGTTTGTAATTTCAGCTACAAGAGAAAGTCTACCAACACTCCAAAAAGTATATACACCTGTGGAAGTTTAATACATGTTCTGTAACAAGTCATGTTTATTTTCTGACATTTGTAAGTCCTTATTCCAATTCTCTCATTACAGGAATACCCATCAAATATTGCTAGCTCCTTAACAATTTTCATCAGCTTAAAAAAACCCCAAACCAATAAAACAAAACCAACTTCCCCTGCCACCCCTTCCCCCCCAGATAAAAACCAGATACCCAAAAGCATAAAGCGGGACCATCTTTTCCATCTTTCTATTGGTATGTCAAACATTTCCTTATTTAAACACTTAGCTACGTAACATTACACTGAACATTTTAATGCCAAAATGCCCAAACTCTGCACAACATACGATAACTTCCGAAGCTGCAGATTTTTCAGCTGAAGAACAATGATGACATGCACACTCATGGGCTATGACTGTAAGTCCAAGGATGAGTATCCTTATTCACCAAGCTCTCCAGATACGCTAAGCCCCCAAGCATTTGCTTTGTGAGCTCCAGAGAGTAGTCACCCATGAAGGCACACAGCCACCATAGTGGACCCATATCTCATATAGACTAACTTTCATGCTGATAACTTTCCTGAGAGTTTGAATTGTTCAGAAGTTCTCCCAAGGAAACATACCACACAAAAAATTACATAGAAGTGATTTTAAGCTGGACAGAGTCAAACAGTGCTATGCAAAGCCAATTTCAAGTCATACCATACTGGAGGTACCATACTAATGACCTTTTTTTACTGTATTTAAAGTCATGAACTGCTTCTGCTGAGTTTGAAGCATCCTCCTTTGCTTTTAGAGGAAGTCTGACAACTTTAAGTTAAACAAATTTCAAAGGCAAAGTTTATAAGGATGTTAGAAGACTTGCAGAGGTTTCCACTCCAGACATATGACTTCAGGGAGACTACTCCCTCAGGACACATATACATCCTGTCTCAATGTCAGCCTGATAATCACAAAAAGCCATTGAACCGAGTAAAACAGAATGGGGAGTTTGCTCAGGAGATTTCACATGGAACAATTAAAAAGACCGCTTTAAGGACATATTTTGGCTTTACCCTGGTTATTTGGGATAGAAGGCCTGTCACCAGAAACAGCTGCCAACTTCTTTGATTCTGTATAAGCAAAGGCTGCAGGAAACATCTGATCTGGTGGCTGAAGAAAGCTTCCTATGAAACTGTTCTTTGATTCAGAATCCATAGCCTGTAGAAAGAGACCTACTTAATATTATTAGTTCTTTAACAGACTCTGTAAGATTTTTCAAAGTATGCCACTGGGCTGTCCCTGGCTCTGTTTATATCAAACCAGATCATGTGCCTAATAATAATAATAATAATAATAATAATAATAATAATAATAATAATAATAATAATAATAATAGCAACAACAAACCCCACACCCCCCCCCAAATCCTGTATTTTAAAGTGACTCCAAAACAATGCCTTTCATAACGCTAAACACAGCTCTCTTTGACCGCTCAAAATTTTCCAAAATTTTTCTCGGTGGTTTCTAGTAACTTATGCTGATTTTTGTACTTTTAAAACCTAAGTATTAACAGCATTTTCTATTAACTGTTTTACAGACTTCAATGTCTTGCCTCTAAGTGCTCCCTGCAGAGTAAGCATTACAAGTTTTACAGCCTGTTTCCATTTGCAGCCTCCTAAATGCTTTTCTCCCCATCTTTTTGGATGAAAAACCAAATTACACAAGGTAAATAATGTCCATTATTACATAATAAAGACACAGTTCTCCACATTTAGTGTTGAGATATCAGAAGGATATTTAATATGCCATAGCCCCAGCATTATCCCCATTATCCCCCAGCATTATCCCCATTATTAGGCATATGTGTTAAATCCTGTTTCTCTACTCCCTTTCTCCCCTGGCCTTTCACATTCTTTGTTTTTTAGAAGCACATTTGAAGACAGTTCACACCCTGTCAAATAGTGATTTTCCTTGATGCTCAAGACATGGACAGTGAAACTTGCAGAAAGTGCTTTAGGCTATTACAACCTCTAGGAAGTTAAAGCAAGTTTTAAATCAACCTGTTGCTACCTAGCAAAATAATATCAAGCATTTCACTTGATACAGTGTAAGAAATTAAGAATATATACAGCTTCAGCTAACAGAAAAACAGCTTATTTGAAGGTTCAGTGACACAACAATTATGGTATCACTTGAGTTTAAAATACAAGGCATGCAACTGGAACAGTCTTCCTGCTTGGGCAAGGCTATTTACAAATGTTAGTCTCCAAAAAAGGTCACTCAGAGGAGGTATCTAGTAACAGGAGGAAGCAACATAAACCAAGACTGGAGCCTGTGGATGACGCAGACTGGGAAAAGCCATTCATACTGGGTGGGTGGGGAAAAAAGTTTTCAACAACAGAAAAATTTTCCAGGACCAGCTCTTACAGCACTGTTTCAGAGGCCATATAAAACAAGAAAAAAATCACCCCCCATCCATACCATCTCTTCAAGACATGCACTAAACCAAAGGTATGCAGAAGCCCTTCCTCCTCCAAGCTGCCATCACAGAGATGTCGATATAAGCATCTCTTTGCCAGGGCTTGCTTGATTTGAGGCCTCCTAAAGACCACTACTTTTGTGTGCTAACGCTCCCAAGGCAGACCACACCATTCAGGGTGGGCCCCCTGCCCCGAAGTGGGAAGCTATCCAGGCTACCTTTGTACAACAGGCCTTTTCCAAAGAGTTTCCCATGGGCCATCCTGTCCAAGCCCAGGCCACGAGCTGTCAGTGCTGGGTCGGCAGCAGAAGGCAGCCAGGCCCTCCACCATCTCTGGTAAGAGGTCCCACCTGTTGCCCCTGCCACATTTATGGCCACAAAATCTGCTTATAGGCCTGCACAGCTCTGTCCTGGAGGACCCGGAAAGGCCATGCAGGGACACCTGACTGATTCTAACAGCCTGCCAGGCCTATCAGCCATGTCCAACAACACAAGGGGCAGTGGCAGTGAAGGGCACAAAGCAGGGAGGTGCAGAAACCTCAAAATATGGACGGGAAAGTCCTGTGGCCACAGGGGTGGGCGGGGCCAAGACAGGTGAGGAGATGGTCCTGGCATGGCACAGTACACCAGCAGTGTTCCACAAAATAAGAGATAAGCAAGACTGACCAATTTTCCCATTGCTTCTCACCCCCCTACATGCTGGTGACAAAAATGACTAGTAAAAATGGTCCATAAAAATAAGCATATGCGCATGCAAAAAGTTTCCCACCGCTGCTGTGAACAAAGGAAGGCAACTTTGGAAACACCAGAGGAAGAAGGTGATTTTTGCTCACACAACCCAACCTTGTGGCAGTCAGTATAAGTGGAGACTCACTTTTCCGACATCCTCCAGTGGAACATGGCTCCCTCACATGCCTGTGCAGCTATGCACCAATTAGTTTCCTTATTACTTTCACATAAACAAGTTTTGCCGTTTCCAAGGAGATGGATCTGTGGGCAGTTATAAGGAGGGCGGTGATCCAAAGCAAATAATGAATAAGAGAAGGAGGGAATAAAGCACCAGAAAATTTGAGAGTTTTGGGACAAGCTCAGCAACACGAAGGTGCAGGAACATGGGGGACACCCACTTGGGAGAAAGGGAAGTAAAAACCCTTTAGTTCTGCAAGTGAAGCCAGAGGAAAGTGAAAGAGAAGAGGCCACCTCACCCACCTGGTGGTGGTGATCCAGCTAATCCAGTGTGGGCTTCAGCATGAAAACCTGCAACTTTTTCAGCACAGCAGAGGGTAACACACACCCTGCAGCTGGAGCGGGGAGATCCCCAGGCTGCTCCGAACAGCACAGGCTCAGCAAAGGGTGTGAAAGAAAACACCACAGGACCAAGACACCTGTGTTTGCAGAAACTCAGCTGCAGACATAGTTATGGATGCCTTGCTTTACCACAGCTTCCTCAGATGCAGAGGCTGTGTGAAGTAGGCTGAAGTAATGGTTGCTATAGTGCTTGGAGGCTCTGTCAGCATAATTACTCTAGGAGAGGTGCTCTGGTGTTGTCGAGTCCTAATATCTTAGCAGGTAAATATAGCTTATAATGATTACACTGCACAGGAGTAATGCCAACACTGCAGACTTCAGGCAAAGAGATGTGCCAGGAAAAGGATCAAGTAAGTCACTCTGCAGCAGCAAGACATCACTAAACATCCTGGCCACTTTCAGCCCATTGCGACAAGAAACCTATCAGGAAATAATTAAGTAGCTTGACGTATGTTTTAACGTCAACTGTCCTACCATCAACTTTTTCCCCAAGTATATAAGCTTCTATAAAACCATCACAAACAGGTTTGCTTTTTAAAAAGTCTAACACAGCCCACATCCATTGCAAGCTTAAACCACTCTTTTATTCCACGCTACCATGGACACCTGCCCTAGAGAGGTGCTTTAAAGCAGATATTCCCAAACAGCGATATTTGTACTAACGTAACTCCACAAGGCTTAGGAGGATCTAGCACTTGAACAACACTCATTAAAGCAGCCAGAACACCATTGTTTAGACAAGCCCTTCTTTGAGGAAATCAGTGCACTCCTTTGAGTTTGGGGAACAGCCAAGGGAGAAGTATGCATATTAAACAGAGGTTGACAAAATAGTGGGGAGGGGAAGAAGGAAGAAATGCTGCACTCTCACCCCAGCAGCCTGCACTGCTGTGGTAAGCAGGGTGAAGCACTTGTGCTGTGCAGGTCACATCTGGAGTTAGCACCAGCTCTTTGAGTTTTTAAACCAGAACTGGCCCAGCCTGTGTTGGTGGATGCAACAGTGATGCTCAGATACCCAATGTTATTTTACACAGAAAAACACAAAGTAGCTGGTTCCTACATACTCTGCATCAAGCATAGGGCAAGTTGGTGCTGACCATGGTCTTTCCATTTAACCATCAGCCTGGCCAAGCCATCTATGTTTTTCTCCAAGACTGAGCCAGGAGGCTCAAAGAGTTCTGTGCCACATGTTTGTAACCCTGTGCATGGTGCATGATGCCAGGCACAGCAGATTAGCTCTGTGACAGTACTGCACTAATGCACATGCAGTGTCTACACTTCCTACCTTGCTGCAGCCAGCGTGCTCATCTCTGGCTGGATGAGCATCCCTCAGTGGGACCACTTCTGCCTGCTGGCTCACCATCCCATGCAGGCTGAGAGCGAGCTTGCACAAGATTGCTGGGGAGCAATCCTGTCATCAGGTCCATACCTGTATATGTAACTGTCATGCCTCAAAGGAGAGCAATCGAGCTGGAGTTTGGTACCTTAAGACAAACAAGGAATTTTCCATTTCATTTCAGTCATCCAAGCACTAATACAATTTACTTTCATACAGTTTCCACTTAGTTTTGCTGAATGTGGCCTGCATTAAATGCCAGAGTACTGGATTGGGTTGCTGTAAAAATCAATTGACATTTATTGCTGTCTTTCGGCATAACAACATTAGGGAGTTACAGAACACAACTGAAATCCCAAATGTTACAGAAAGATCAGTTATAACTTCTCCATCCCCCTCTTCCTCTTCTTTCCGTTCCTCCCTTGCATTGCTAGCCACATCATTAAAAAAGTTTTAAAAAAATGTCTCCCAAAGTGAAAAGTCCTGAAACATTTTGCCACATACACAATTATGTCCCATACTGTAAAGCAGCATGTGGAAAAGCTTTTTCCACATGTGAACTACAGCAGACTCAGGGAATAATGCTGGTTTAACAGTCTCCCAAAAGATACTAAATGAAAAATGTGATAATGTAAGGAATGTTTCCACTAAATTCTCTGATGTTTGTTATCTCATAGAGACACTGGTTCATTTAAATCACTTGTGAGGGCAACCTTTTAGAACCAAAGAAAGAGGTGCTGTCAGAACACCTTCAAAGGAGAAAAAGAAAAAAACAGATCAAAGCATTTTTCAGAAAGAAATACAAAGATATATATCTTATGACCTGACCTACTGGGCATGCAAAATTTATAGTGGTTTTTTTCATAACTGAAAACAAAGTCTCAGATGAACCAAGGAATGATTCACTGTTTATCTGACCTAAGAGAAGTTTTAAGAACTGCCCCAACACAGGCTATACCAAGAAACTCCCAGAATTCTGGCTGCTGCTTTGACTGTTTGAGCCAAGCTTTGCTGGCGAAAGGCTATGTGAGAAACCATTTTCTTGACACAATCCAAATCCAAACCCTTTCCTTTGAGAATCAGAGGGAAAGCTTGGTCAGCTGTAGTAGCTAGGCTGCAACACTCAGCCTTATTCCCAACAGAAAAAGAACAGCCCTTCCACAGACAAAAAAAAAGAAATAAATAATGTTGTAGGCAAATTGCACTGTTGTTTTGGGAACATCCAGTCTCTAGCATCCTGATACAACTACTTTAATCAGCCTAAAACATATGACATTGCTCAGGACATATCTAAGTAACTGGTACTCCCATGCCATCTCTAATCTAAGTGGGTTAGAAGTGAAATGGCAGCAGCTGCAAAATAACAGGACGTAAAACCTCACTGAATCAATAAAGCATTTCAACATGTTTTTAAGGTTTGTAATGTTCCAGTTTAAATAAGTTTAGAGAAAATGGCCAGAAAATTGTTAGAGAAATTAAGGAAGCTGGGGGTGTTTTGAAAAACTGACACAGATTAGTCCATGGGAGTCAGTGTGTTGTACAAACTACAAGATACACACTGGCAGTGTGTATAAAGGTTATAGTGGATATATAAAGGTTAAGTGCCCAGTTTCTTCTTTGATACTACGGTAGCAAAACCTATTCATTCCTGAATCTCAAATCTTATGCAGAACTTTCATACAATCATTGTTCTTCAGTCTTGGAAGAAAAGGAAAAGAAATGGCATTTTATGTTATCTCATGACACTGTACGTACTGTCAAGTAGGATAAAGCCTGGCATTTTAATGAAAAAAAAAACCAAACACCAAAAAACCAACAAGCTCCTAAGACTTTTCACTGTGTCAGACCTATATTCATATTTTTCTAGTTCCTAACTGCTAGAGATAAAAGAGAACAAAAAAAGAGGAAGAAAGAAAACGGAAATGAGTTATACAAGTACTTTGTGAACAAGGCAAAAAAATAACCTGGTGGGAAAAAAACTGAGCTATTTTTATGACATTTTTTTTAGGAATAGGTTCTAACCTGGCAGATAGAACCAGGCAAGCAAATTTGGGTCATAATGTCATCAGAGTTCTGCTGTTTTCTTCAATGAGCACAGCAGACCCAATTCCTCATTCAATTGGGCCTTCATTCAAAAGGGCATGATAGATTCATAATCAATACTTTCGGGGGAAATCCAGTTGGTGCAAACTGCTTTAACGTGTATGTGCACACAATAACTGAACTTGGAATTCAGAGGAGCAAGACTGCAAATTCCTATCTAGTAATATGTTAGCATGAAGGCATCTAGCCTGGAATATAGTGTTATCAAAATAATTACATTTATAAATCCTTAATCAGCCCAAAGTAATCAAATATAACCTTTTTGTAATAAGCATCAAACCCAAACTCAAATACTACAAATGGTCACTAATATACTTCCTCACTTCACTCATAGTTCCTCTTCTCCTGTCATCCACCCCCACGCTGCAGTTGGGTTTTGCCTCTCATCTCCTCTGTTTTCATTGTATTTATATCATCCTGTAGCTTTGTTCCTTGCCCTTCTCCATTTGGCATTCTTCTTTTCCCACTCCATCTTCTAGCATAAAAAATTAGGACTTTTTTCAAAGTAAAAATACCCAGTTTTCCCTCAAACAAGAATAACAATCAAATTTCTTCCTTTTATACTTAAAATCCAGTTCCAACAGATGCTGTTTGCGCTTAGTACACACTGACCGATGTGGTAATTGAAGGTGGTTTCCTCCGTACTTTACATAAAAAATGTAAGAAGTTCCTTTTTCTCTTCACTATTATTTTTTGCTGATGCCATCACACTGTCTTCCATATGTAGTTTGTTTAGCTTAGTGTGTCCTGACAGATTGGAAGGCAGGAGGAAATTACTGGCTTTGGCTATAGACCCTTGATTAAAAGGAGGAAGGCTTTGCTGTTGTGGAAAGGGAAGGTTTTCAAGGGCAAGTGACTCCAGTATAAAAGACTATATCTGTGCACAGGCAGAATAATTAGAGATTAGAAAGGCAAATGCGAAAAGGAAAAGTCATATTAGAGTAGGGCAGGGCAAATATAAGAGCGGGTTGAAATGACAATCATAGTGAAGAAATATTATGAGGTATGGGATA